TAAGTTTGGTCCGCCGCACGGATTCTTTTTCTTCATTGTTTACAATTGAGTGTCATATTTTCATTTAATTCTAAGAGATTAAGATCATTTTTGTTACAAAAAGCCAACTCCTTTCAGGTCTACCTCTGCCCTTCTTGATATAAGTCGATTCTAAAATATCTACTCTCCTAATTGGATCATTAGATGATCGATGTTTAATGTGAGCTAAACCAATCAATTTCACGGATATATTTGTTTCACATTTTGTCTCTAAATATAAAGTCGCTCATCTGCCATAAGCATTCTCATCTCAGCAACACTTAACTTAGTATATGCTTCACTTTCTAGGCCAACATTATGTATCATAAAGCATTGCAAGTTTTACCACCATCTAATAAAATTTTTCTTTAAGTCTAAGTAATACTTCTCCATCACACAATAGGCCTGATGCATTCCTCCATTTCAACCATCTAACATGAATTCTACTATTAATGTCCCAATTTATAGTGCAAACACTTTCAACAATAGACCTGAGATATCTAAAACATGCACTTCTTTAATGCCTTAATCATCCACTAAATACACTCAAATGAAAGCTTTTAAACTTAAAATTTGACCTCAATAACTAATTTTTTTTTCCTGAATTATTTTTTAAATTTTATCCACAAAAAGAATATCATCAGCAAAATTATACACCAAGGTACATCTTTCTGTAAATGTCTAGTAAGAACATGCAAAACTGAAGTAAAAAAACTTTACCTTAAAGTTGATCCATGATGTAATTCAACTAAAATTGAAAAAATGAATCAGTTCTCCTTCTATTCATACACAAGTAACAACCATAGTATACATATCTTTATTACTTGAATATGTCATAGCAATAGCTTTCTTTTCTAAAGCTCTTCAAAGAATTTCTCTTTATAACTTAAATCAACAAAAATCATATGTAGATCCTTACTCTCCCTGTACTTCTCCAAAAAATCTCTCAATTAATTTAAAGCTTTCAAAGTAGGTTTGGTCATCATAAAACTAAACTAATTTTGAGAAATTTGTCTTAACATATGTTTAATCACTCTCTTCTATAACTTTAATGAATGAAAGATTAGCTTAATTTCTCCATAATTTGCACAATCTCGTCCATCGCCTTTATTTTTTAAAAGTAAGAACCAAAACACTGTTCCTCCACTCCTGAAACATCTTTTTATCTTTAAAAATAATATTAAAAATTTATTTAGAAAAGAAATTCATGAATCTTCTGATCATTTCCACACTTCTATTACGATATCATCTTGTCCTAGTAACTTTTCACTCTTGATTTTCGCTAAAGTCTCCACAGCTTTTGTTTTACTAATATGATAATAAAAAATAATAAGTTTTATTATCAATAAAAAAATTAAGATCACTAAAGTCGATCAAATTTTCAAACTCTTTATTGAAAAGTTTATCAAAATATCTCTCCCACCTATGTTGAATCTTCACATCTAAGGAAAGTACTTTTTGATTTTCTTCCTTAATAAACTATACTTAGAATACATTATTATTTTTCTTATTTCCTTATTTAGACACACACACACCCACACACACAAAACACACACATACATATATATTAAGGAAACCGATA